TTTATTCTCAACAAGATATTTTACACCTTCTATGCACAGGAAGATTAGTGATTCTATGATTCTAGTAATAGTGTGTTAATGCAACTAAACTAAAGAAAGAAGAGAATACAAGCTTACATATGCTGAAAAGATTCTGTAAGGCTGTATGGTTTATGGTTTATGAAATGTTAAGAGTAAAATGCTTGCGCACATGAAAATTGTTCCTATGAATTGTTGAAATGAAACGTTATTTGCAATGCAGAAAGACAAACTTTAATGTGTTTGAAGTTTAATGCTCAAGTTATGTTACAGCTTCTATGGACAGGAAGCTTAGTTTAGTGCATTTATGAAGAGTAACATTGTATTACCTCAACAAAGCAAATGCAATGCAAGAGAATGCTATCCCACATATGCTGAAAAGCTTCTTTCTCTTCTTTCTGCCCACATATGAAATGAAATTTTATTTAGATTAAAAAAAGTTATGTTAGAGCTTCTATGCTCAGGAAGTTTAGTTTAGTGCTTCTATGAACAGTAACAATATGTTAGTGCAACAAAGCAAATGCAGGGAATTCAAGCCCACATATGCTGTAAAGCTTCTTTCTCTGTAAGTATGTTAACAATGTTAAGAGTAAAGCTTGCCCATATGAAAGATGTTTCTAACATATGAAATAAAATGTTATTTGCAATGCATAATGACAATGCGTAATGTGTTAGAGCTTCTATGCACAAGAAGCTTCCCAGACAGCAACATAGTGTTGGCCCAGATCCGGCCCACATCTGGCCCCTGTGAAAACAACATATGAAATAAAATGTTATTTGCAATGCATAATGACAATGCGTAATGTGTTAGAGCTTCTATGCACAAGAAGCTTCCCAGACAGCAACATAGTGTTGGCCCAGATCCGGCCCACATCTGGCCCATGTGAAATCCATGCGGGCCAGATGTTGGCCGGATCTGGGCCGAAATTGTCTGCTGTCTGGGTTAAATTAGGGGTTCTATGAACAGTAACACTATGTTAGTGCAACTAAACAAATGAAGATAATGCAATCTCACTCATGCTGAAAACCTTCTTTCTCTGAAAGCGAAAGTTGTTTTTATCAATCCCACATATGCCGAAAAGCTACTTTTCTCTGTGAAGCAAATGAAGAGAATGCAAGCCCCACATATGCTGAAATGCTTTTTTCTCAGAGAAAGGTGGTTTATGCAATGTTAAGAGTAAAGCTTTCCCACATGAAAGATGTTTCTAACATATGAAATTAAATGTTATTTGCAATGCAGAAAGACAATTCTTCATGTGTTAGAGCTGCTATAAACAGAAAGCTTAGTTGAGTGATTCTATGAACAGTAACACTATGTTAGTACAACTAAACAAATTAAGAGCATACAAGCCCACATAATCTGCAAAGCTTCTTTTTCAGTGACAGATAGTTGGTTTATGCAATGTTAAGAGTAAATCTTGCCCACATGAAAGATATGAAATCACATTTATATCATATAATATTTTTTATGAAATCTGGCTACTAAGGGAGAAACAGAGAGAGCGGTTTGTGCATATTTGTGCATGTTGTTGTGCGTCGCAACAGAAGTAACATCTAAATGTGTTAACTCACTCACTGTATCCTTTGCCAATGTATAGCATGAGAGCTCTGTTTTATGCACAGTGTATTGACAGACAAAGGCCTTTTCTCAAGCATTATTTTCACTAATTTAATGCATTTTATCACACTCTATTGCTTTAAATGCTCTCATGTGCAAAAAACATAGGACACATTCAAAACATTTTCTTAACATGTCCATTAACTGAAAGTCAAGTGTTACCATAATACATAGCACAAGTTTTACTAAATGAAAAATATTCTTAATCACTGCATGTTGTTTAAACACACTGACTACATAGTTTTGATAACTCAAAGCAAAACACATTCTCTGTGCAAATTCAATTGCTATGTTAAACTGAACTTAACATGCAAATCCATTTTCTCATTCATTGAATCATTTAATTCAACAAATATCGAAAGCTCTGCTTTCACAAACAGCACATAAGTTATATTCACTAGCAAAACATTTTTGAATGAACTGCATGCCCACTGCCCAATCTTTAAACTTTGTCTGTCAATAAACTGAGCCAATGAACCAATGAGCACATTAAAGAAAAAAAACAAAACAAAAACAAAACACACACACACACACACACACACACACACGCACACACAAACTCCTTTTCATTTCCCTAAAATAAAAACAACCAGTTTGAACTGGAACACTATCCCCCTCTACTCAGCATGTGTTCTGTCTAATATCTACCTGTCTAATAACCTAGTTTTTAGAGTGTAATATCTTACAGAGCCACCTGGTGGCTCAGTGGTTAAACACTGTTGCCTCACATCAGTAAGGTCCATAAGCTAACTGAGACTTGTTATAGCGCTTGTATATCATTTTGATTGCTTCCATTGTCCTCATTTGTAAGTCGCTTTGGATAAAAGTGACAGACAAAGGCATGTCTGTCAAAGGCATGTAAATGACTAAATGTAATGTAATGTAAATGTTTTGAAGATGCCTTGACTTGAATGAGTTCATTTGAGTATCATTTTTTTTTCTGATGTGTGGAGTAGAGCTGTGGATAACATAGCTCACATAAACTAGTTTCTGAAGAATAATGAGAAATGTTTGACCTCTTATGACATTTTATGGTGACTGCAGATTTGCAGGCTGTAAAGTATGACAAATGTCAGATGTTGAAATATTATCTGTGCAGATTGCAAATCAGCAATGTTTAAAGCATTGGCCTCTATGCCGCACTACTAATGTTAATTGGTAAAAAAAAAACAATTACATAGTGTTTACACATTTAGGGGCTGTGAATGGTTTAATTATAATGGTCTAACATTAAACTAGAGTAGGAGAAAGTATTTTAACATAAAAAAAGCTCACCTCAGCTTTGTATTTTTGTAGTTTGAAAATAGTTTAGAAAAATAGTTTTTAGTTAAAGTGTGTTTTTAAAAACTAACTAACAACTAATCTTTGCAAGGCAATAAACTCATCAATGAGGAGCTAGACAGGCTTCTGTTGATAAGGTACTTGATAAGATCTATTCCCTAACATAGAGTAAAGACCAGGCAAGTCTTATTGTCATTAAGGTATACTTTTACTGGTTACATTTCTTAACCACTCAGCAGTGCATTTACCTTAACTCTAACCCTGGGTAGCTAATTGCTTTAGCACCATACTATAATGCATTA